TGTAATACAAAAGATTTTAAATCACTTGCTTTTCTATTCGTTATTTCTACATATCGTGCATCTGGTTTCCAATATGTACTTTCAATTTCAATATAAATTGGTGATTGTTCTCCTGGAACAACATCAGCAATTAAATGAACTTTAAATGTATGTCCAGTGTCAGTTTGAAAAACAACAAAATTATGACGAATAAGAGTTTCATAAACATAAAATTGACGAATAACCATTTCATCATGAAGAAATATCGAACAACGATATTGTTCAATTTTTCGATAATTAAATTGATTATTTGATGCATTAATACCAATTAAATTAAGACTACCTGCTACGAGTCCTACACCTTGCATAAATACATCACGTGATTGTTGTATCAAAGTCATTAGAGATGATCAATGAATAATTAATATAACCTACTTTTAAATGTACAATGTCGAAGATATGTATTTCAATTTCTTGAATAAATAAAAAAATAAATCTATTTGATAATAAAATTACTCTTTACGTTTCATCATTAGAAAGTCAAAATTACAGGAAAGAATAAAAAAAAACCACCTATATTTTTTTTCAATATACACATGGTTGAATCTAATTAATACTCCATTATATGTACGTTGCATTTTTTTTTACATCTATTTATCATCATTCCTCTTACTTGTTTTTGCTTACTAGAGCAAAAATATGTACTTTTATATTTTAATCTTTCTGATGAATCAAATATTTACCTATATATGTAATGTTTTTGAAAATAATAATGACAACACATTAGAAAAAAAAGATATTTCCATATTTATTCATTTCATTATATATGCACAATAAATTAGATCATTAAATTTTAATACTTCTAACATGACTTTGTAATTATTATCTAAAGAGTTATTACTTTATCTATTTGAATATATCAATGATATTGATGTTTTTCGTGGTTTCTATGATCTTAATTATCGTTTTAATTGTCTACTTCTTACTTATAGACATATTATGTCTTGCGGGTGGTGTAGGTGTGGGCATGGGTGGGTGTATGTATAGATGTGGATGTGGATGTCTACTCTTTCTATTCACACCCACACACACCACCCACCTCATTCCACCCATCCATCATTACAATAAAAATATCAGTTAATTCGATGATTTTCTTAACGATGAGTCAAAATATTTCTTATTTGAAACAGATTTATGATCTTCACAATTCCTCTACAATTATAATAAATCAGACAGACGATTCTATCGACTTAAATTCGTATTTATTCTTATTTAATAATCGCAATTTAATTTTATAATTGCAATTAATTTTTCTCAAATAAAATTTAAAAAATATTCGAATATAAAATATTTTCTTGAATATGAATAACGCCATTTGAATAAATAAGTAAATTTATCTTCAAATAAATCATTATGAATAAAAGAGAAAACCTTCTTTAGATAAAAATTTTTTAATTCTCAATAATTTTCTTTTTTAAAATCAACCGTTAAATAAAAACAATTCTGTGCGCAAAGTTAATAAAAATCGATATTCTCATGCAAATAATTACCATATCTCTTTAATTACTAATCTAAATTGAATTGATAATCAGATTCTCAACGAAGAACTATTTTTCAATGAAACCGAAAGAAGAATTTAAAACTTTTCGTATTAAAAATTAAATTTCTCAACAAAACTGGTAATAACATTTGAAAAAATCGAATCATTTTAGAGAATTTATATTCAAATATTAAAACTTAACAAAAAGAAAATCTACACAACAATAAATATTTATAATATCGAAAGTTTATCTTTACAATAAATAGTGTTAAATTAAAGAATATTATTTTATATGAAAATTAATCAAATTCTCTATTCAACTCATCAAATGAAGAGAAAATGGAAAGAAAATAGCAATTCGTTCACAATTTTGATTTTGATTTTATTCGATCAACATCAATGATTTAACAATTGAAATTGAAATGAAAGTGACATCTAAACAGATGTGCCTTAACAATTCTTTTACTTTATGAAGAATTTTTGAAATATATAAAGAAAAAGAGAAAAAATTATCATCAATGAACAAGAATAAAAACTACTTTTCTTTATTTCTTTATTCATCGGCATCTCATATCGAAATATATTAAAAAAACACAAAATTCTAATAAAATGTTATTGAAAATCTTTTTTCAATTAATATAATCGATTGCCACAATGCTCATCGTTTAATTAAAACAATATTTCGACTTATTAGCAATGAAACATAAAAAATTAAGATTTATCTCCTTTTCGAATATATTTGATATTATCAACAGATATTTAATACGCATTTCAAATAGAAATGAAAATTCAAATACATATGATCAATTAGAAAATAACGTTTAGAAATTACTAGTAGATTCAAGCCAGAAAAGGGTGATAGAAGAAAACATTTCTATTGCTCTATCAAGAGACATATGTAAATACAGAGAAAAAATCGAAATATTTTTTCATTTATTTGAAAATAAATTTGAAACAAAATCTTTTATTAGTATTGAAAAAAAGAAAACGAATCAAAAAGAACAACACAATGATTCCTCAATTGAAAAAGATGAAGAAAATGAAATTGAGTTCGAATCGAGAATTTATTTGTGAAGAATTGTTTAAGTAAATATGTTTTTTTATTTTCGACATGAAATTTTTGTTATTCTGAATGGTAAAATCGTTGAATTTGATGAAAAAAAGGGCTAAAATAATTAAATTCGAAATAATGAAATTCTCATCAATATTCGTCAAAAGCTTTTGATTTTGATTTCAATAAAGAAAAGCGATTTTCATAATTGTTTGAGATCAATTTTTCTTAAAAGACTTCTTCTTTTGCAAATAAAATCACTATTTAATTCATGAAAAAATCAAGTTAACTCACTCTTCACAATTGTTTTTAAATTTCGGTGACTTCTGCATTAAGGATATAGCAGACATCGACACCCTCAATATGGTGCCGATGGGTGTGGGTGTGGGTGTGGGTGAGGGTATAGATGCGGGTGAGGGTATAGGTGTGGGTGTGGGTGTGTGTATCTCCTCTACTCTCGCAATCACAACCACTCACACACATCCACTCAAAATAGCACCGGCACTCACTCACCCACACTCTCAAAAAAAGACAACTTTTTTTGACGTAAGTGAAGTAAGCAGCCGATTCGAGTATTTTCACTGGCGATTCGTCTATAATGCGTTCCAGAGGGTTCCAGAAGAGTTTCAGGCACAACTCG